CGACTGATAACTGTGTATAATTATTTGTAGTGTTTGAAAATTTCATGAAATTTAAAATTTTTAAATATTTCAGTATTTTAATAAATTTCTTTTAGTCTTAAATAAGTTTTCTACCTACATATAATTGTCATAAATTACCTTCATAATTGATTGGTACCCTTTATGTATACCTAACCTTTGGTATTATACATTTAAAATGGTATTCAAAATTTTTAAATATTTTAATGTTTAAATGATACAAGTAGGTATATACAATATTATACATGTATATTGTATACATACTGAATTCTTACATTAGAATTTAGAACACTTAACATTGTGTTAAAAAAATAAAAAATATGTTTTTATTTGTGTTATAAAAAATTTCAATGTCTCACGTTTTTGTGACATTTCATACTTCAAACACTAATTATTTGTATAAGCTAAATTTTATTTTACAAAAGACAATATATTATAAATTGCATACGTCATATTGTATTATCATCGAACAGTCTTTTAGCATAGTATTAGGATGTGGGGGGGTCCTATAATTATTTTTCCCACGGAAAATAACACTTTACATCGGTGCCACATTTTTAAATAAATTTTGTGTTTATTTTATTATAGGTAGTTCGATGTATTTGAGTAGTGTTCTCGGGTCGCTTTCAAACACAATATTTGGTTTAGACTTTCCGACCGAAGCAATGAAGTATGTTTGTTTTAATTTATATTTGATGCAAATTACGGGTACGAAATGAAACACCGATAAGCATTATAACAATAGTGCACTAAATATTTACTTACAACGCAATATCCTATATTATTATATTTTCAATAAAATTAAAATATGAATTAATTTCGTAGCATAATGTCAAGTCTTAGTACCTGAATTAAATTATAAATATCATCAAAAGAAACCTAATAAATATCGAGTAAAAAAAAAAAAATTCTGAAACTGTCATTTGTACCTAACCATACTTCAAACATTAATATTATTATATTTAACTCTACAATAAATGGAAAATGGAAATTTAGTAAAATAAATTACATATTAACGCATTTTGTTAATTTGAGATAAAATGATATACAATTACATAGGGACTGCTCCACAATATGTTTTGCTGTAAACAAAGCATGGATAATAATATAACACGCCTAATACTCAAACTTAGTACAGACCAGTAATATTTAACAAAACAGTTGGTCCACATAATACAACGCGTCGAAAGATGATAAATGTAATATTCATCAGGGACCATAGTTTAAATTGTAATTATTATTATAGGAGCACATCCTATAGACAAATCGAACTGAATAATTATTATATAATATCTTAGAATTTTTTCTTAAAAGAAAAACAAATGACTCGAAATGACTGAAAGACTTTGGAAAAAATGTGGGTACTTTTATGGGTACCATTTTGCATCAAAACACACTGCTAGTAATACTATTTGATTAGCGAAACAAATCCACTCAATCGTGTGCGGTCATTATTAATTGCAGCTCGTGTTAGATGACAATTAATCAATATGGAAATGTCGAAAATAAATCAACGTAATTAATTTTAATTCTGTACAACTGCCGCGTCGGCATCTATCTGTTTCACTTGCTTTTATATTATATCCGCCTAATTTACGAGGGTGCACGACCGGTCCGCATCATAGAATAAATCCATATCGCCTAAAAACCGGCACACATTAATTAAATTACCAAATCGATCCGGTTGAGAGCCAAACGGTGCCCGTGTATACAGGGCGCGCAGGGGTTTCGACGTGGGTGGAGGCAAGAGAAACACAGATTTTTCTACATTAAAACGCTATAGGCTCTGATTTTTACCCCATTTCACCTTGTCACTTTTTATTGTCTTGCTTTGTTTTCATTTGCCACCGACGAATTTTAAAAGTTAATTAACCTTTGCGTCTGAAAGGCACCATTGTTGTTTTGTTTCGAAGGTAGTAATAATGGATAAAGAACACGAAAAGGTTGAACAACTAAAGCCGTCTCGTGGCAAGGAAATGACACAGGTACACCAATAAGAAATTAACAAATAATAGTATTATATTATATATTATTATTATTATTATTATTATTTTAAGGACCACCTGTTACGAAATTCAATAGCAAATAGGCGCAATATTCCGTGTAGTGTTGTTTTCATATTATATCGTATTTCTTCCTATACGGCTATACGCACAGAATGACAATACCATTTCTTACCGTAAAAGGGATGAAAGGATTTCGACAATTTATTGGGACAACGATATATAGCCATATAGGCATACACACAATATCTTATCGGGTCGAAAATTAATACAATAAATTAATCGGCACGGAATACAATCTGTTGACTCATGATAGGTACACGAAATTGCAACATTCTATGGCCGCAGTCGTCATAGAATTTAATATATCGATTGCGAACAACTAATATTCAATTTATTATCGTTTAAAATCGATATCAGACAGTCTGAAATCACTAGCTTTTTATTTTTTTTTTTCAAATCATCATTAACCTATATATGTCGATTATAACTATTAAAATAATTAATGCTTTTTTATCTCCAGTAATAATATGTCCCCTCCTTTGCTTTTTAAAATAATGAATATTTGTTAAGTATCATTATATAAATAGTAGTATACTATTAAATAAGTATTTGTTCTAGTTATTTTATATGTAAGTAAATGTGTTGAGCACTATTATTGTTTAATGGGCTGAGTTCTTCAAATGATAATAAATAAATAAATAAATAAATTTCTATTACCTATATTTATTAATTTTATAACATACACCACATTTCATACTCGTATATCAACTACATATTATGTCATATAATCAATTCAACTACATTGAAATAAATTATTCAAAACATTAAAATCATACTTAAAGTGTAAAATTAATTATATTCCATGGATACAAATAAATTTATATTTTATATTATACAATTTAATAAGTGATGAATGATAATAGTAAGTGCAATTTAAATATTTATTTAAATATTATTCTTTGGATGACATAGCAAAAATATTATCCAAAACACCTAGATCTCACATTTTACTCAATACCACAGAATACATGTCAATCCAACTCATTAGTATATTATAAGAATAAAGTATTATTATGATTTTGATCGTACTATATATTTTCTTATTTTTTAATTCTTATTTTTCTGTTATGAAGCAAAATACATAACAATTTATAATTGAATATGTTAAAGGTTATAATCTTATATTTAATAATTATTGCTACTGTCATAATACGTTTTAAAATAATAAGCAACAAGTAGGATTGTAATCAAGTGTAAACAATGTGATGTTAGAATATAATATGAACAATGCAAGTTATTCGACTTATTATAAATTGTTCCTACAAGACATAAAATTAAGTGAATAAGGAAAAATATAATTAATCTTTATCAATCATTAATTTCCTTACTTACTACCTCTAAAACTTCAAAAATCATATTTTCAGGTAAAATACCTAACTCATAAACTTTTATATAAAATTAAGAAAAAATAATTCCTGATATAATTAATTATTATACTATAATAGGCATGATTATCATGTTTTTTAAGAATTTATTTTTTGACTTTCTTTATCATAAATGTATATGCACAAAATAATTATTGAAAACGTTTACTTCCTTTTTTATTCTCTAAAATATGTCCACAGTAAATTTTACTGTTATTAATATTTTAAATATAATCTTACAAAATTATAGATACTTACATAACTGACACTTAAAATAACTTAAAATTTAATTATTTGTTTATCTGTATCACACATTCATTACTCACGTCCCACAAGGCCACACATACCCATAATATGTTTAAGCTTTTAACTAATATGAAGTACAAATTCAAAAGTTGTAGCGTAATACTCTGTCGAGCGTCAATTATTTAAACAATTATAGTCAACAACTTTGAAACATTTAATATGTACTAAAAATAAAATTATATCATCCAAACAAAACGGTTATCCGTATAACATCGGACGTTTATTATTTCAGATGTCTTAATGAATGTTATCGTTTGATCTTTAAACTGTAACACAATGTCGAAGAACTTTGAATTTACAACAATATATTATATGAAATAATACGTTTCCAAAGATAAACTTTATGTATTTTTAACATTTGTTAATTTAATTTATTTCATGTCCGTGTAAAGTTATGTTTAAGACGTATTCAATTAATTATGAAATCGTTTCAATAAATACATTATGTAGGTGTATACTATATAGGTATACCTATAAAGTATTCAGAGAGGTGAAGTACAAATAGTAATTAATTACTAAGAACATAGTTTGAATAAAATATAATAATAAATAAAAATGTTACCTATTCTAACAGTAATGGAACATATAAATTTACAGCAAATATTTCATATTATAATTGATAAGTATTGTATTAAAAATTATAATATTTTAAGGTTGATAATATAACTGTAAAACTTATCATATATAGTTCCTACTGTCTGCTGTACAACAATTCACTGCACATAAACCTATTATTGTCTTTGTAATATATTATAACATAGACCATAATACAGGTCGTTTATTATATATTACGTTGTAGTATACGGCAAAATAGTTAAAATATTATATTATTTATTATATTATATTTTATATTATTTCAAATCAGTTTACAGGCCATTGTTTCGAAGGCCAAACTTTCAAACACATACCTAATCTCAATATTAGAGAGTTTTCTCTTCTATCAGACACCATTACACTACATGAAATTTAAAAAGAGTTAAGTGAGCTACGTTCAACTCGTAGTCTTAGAGCAGGCGGTATTCCAGCAAAGGTGCTACATGAATGCGTATAGCACAACTTTCTTACTCAGTGCTACCACTATATATCTTTTTAAATTATAACTTAATAACAGTAATTTCCATAAAGTTTGAAAACAAGTCGGGTGACTCCAATCGCTAAGCCTGGAGATCCAACATCAGTATAAAATTACCACCCGATTTCAGGCTCACCGTCGATTGGTAAATTGTTAGAGTTTTCAGTTTTTCCAATGTACGAAAGTACTATAAAATCCACTTTATTTCCGGTCCATCGGGGCTTTGGCCGCTCGACTGTAACCGGTGCTGTCGAACTGATCTCATATACCCTCGATCAGTTTGGATTCCGTAGCCAAGTAGATGTTACTTTCATTGACATTGCAAAAGCGTTTGCACTACCGTTAAGCAATAACCATGAAGTTTTAGTACAATACTCTCGACCAACTTGGAATAGGCGAACCGTTACTATTATGGTCATACTTAACCGATGGATGTCAGTTTGTGTCTCTTTTTGGTCACAATTTAGAGAAAATTCTGGTTTCTTCGGATGTTCCCCGAGAACGTCATCTATCGCAGTTATTATCTATTCAATACTTTAATTAAAAATTCTTTGTGCTTGGCTGTTGATTGTAGTATTCAATTGTTTGCTCACGAGTTTAAACTATTTTGTACAATGTATTTCACACTTTGATGGATTGAAAATATTCAGATGGCCTTGCCCCATAGCCATTCAAAATGCAAATTAATGACGTTCAATAGCGCTAACTCAGAACTAAAATATGCTTACCATATTATATCTATTATATCTATTATATTATATATTATACCTATTATATCATATCTATTAGCACGTGTTGATTAGGTTAAATACTTGGAATTCATAATATATACTATTATACTCCAACGTTATACTTTGGGGCCAACATAATATTATATGGGAGCCCTACGAATACTTTGATTTATCAGGCGGCACACTGAGTCGGCCATGTCAGGTAAATGTCTTTTAGGATTAAAATATTGCTCGTTAGTTTATTCTGTAGTGGAATGGATCTGCAGTAGTGTGGTCCGGATAAGTTACGAATCGAACGTGTACAGAGCATCGTTATCTTAGAATAACAATTTATCGATGTATGAATATAAACCAGAAACCACATGACTATATCAACCCGTTTTAAACGCACTTAGAATATCAACACTAGGGGTTCGTAGGCCTAATGGTAGCGTTAATTATAAAATTGTTGGATCATTTGGCGCACCAACTATCTAGAGTATGATTTCGAATGCCGATAGTGGACAAAAGAGCTCCACTTACCTACGGTAAAAACAAACTACCTAGAGGCTGATCCTCTGAGGAAAGCGAAATGTCTCTCGCGAACCGTGATAATAATTTCTTGAAAAAAATCGTATTTGTATGTTAAAAATGTATTTTGTACTACGCTAGTAGACCTAACCTATAAAGTTACGTAACTATTGTAGACAAAAACCGTATGGCGTCTATTATTTAAAATAAATAAATAAATAATGGAAAATAAATTTAATGACATTGATGATTCTGTATAAATAATTCATATATCAAACAAACACACAGACAAGTAGGTTACTGGTAATAATTTATGTAATTGAACTAATATAATAATATGATTAAATGAATATAACTAACAAAAAGTCCAATATTATACATTAAAATGCGCTGAATGTATCAAAAGCCACGTTTTATACGCCTTTCACTAATAAAAAGTGAAGAAACGTGTTTAAAAAAAATAATAAATACGAACTGATATAATTCTGCATGTAAGTTATCGTCTATAAATATACTAGCTCAGAGGGCTAGCAGGTATTAAACATAATACACTTAATATAGTAAAATTATTAAATGTTTTAGTATATTATTTATGATATTTTTTAATACTTTAAAAGCGGAGGATATGCGCATTTTACGATAGTTCCAAGTTACCTACCTAACTTTAATCATTATGTTACGGAGCAAACATACCACAACAACGAAAACGGTCTTTATCAAGACCAACAAACATAATTAGACAAAAAAGAACGGTTTGACAGACGAAAACCACACCGAACAAAGGTAAACAACAAGACAACGGTGTGCTTTTCATCTGTCATAACGAAGAACACGGGCCAATGAGCGATGGGCTAGATTGTCGAAGAGGGTATAAATACCGGACACTTTCGACAATCTAGCCAGTCTATTCATTACCTTCAAACCGTCAACAAGTACCTGATCAACAGAAACAAGACGAACAGAAGGACCAGACCAGACCGCAAACCGAATACGCATCCACGGCCGCAGACCGCCACACACCAGCAGCGCCACCGCTCCACGGTGAATAGTCGCATTACCCGACTACGCATCGACGACGCGCCGCTCCACGGCCGCAGACCGCCGTATTCCAGTTGCGCCACCGCTCCACGGTGAATAGTCTCACGGACCGACTACACGTCGACGGCACGCCGCTCCACGGCGAAGAGTCATACCGGCCGGCGGCACATCGACGACGCACCGCGCTACGGCAGTGTACATCAACCAATCGCCGAGCACCAACCACGTTACCGTTCCACGACGCGGACCAGCATCGATCGGCAACGCAACAGCGACGATACGACACGCCGTTCCACAGATTCCGACGTCACATTATTAAACGGCCCTTTTCAGGGCCACCACTCACAATACCTCGACACTTACTCAAGTTGTTCGACCCGAGTTTGGTTCACTGTCGGAGTACCGCTTAATCAAGCTTGTACCGACGGCGGCCAACTCCCTGGCCCGGTCAATTTTGTACATAAACAATCAATACTATTCATCACTCTGTAATATAGGATCCGGCACTTGCCCGATCATAAACCAAGCGCCCCCGATTGTGTCGACCCACTTATCAAGTCTGGTCGACACAAATCGACGCTTTACGCTATCCCTATTATAATTAAAATATATTTCATATAGCAATAGAGATCACTGATTACCAATAAATCCAGCGTTCTTTATTTCAAGACGCGGATCGCCCAACCGGGTGCTCCGTATCAACTGGCGCCCAACTAGTGGCTCTCCGACGACATAAGAGAACATCGAATAACAAGGATAATACCTCAGTTAATAACAGCGTTTGCTAAATATTAGGCAAAATGAGTCCGAACAACAAACTCAAACGGAATCAGGGTACGTCTGGAGGAGATGCACAAAAAATTCAACAATTAGAGGAGAAAATAGAGACACTAGAAGATATTACACGACTACTACAGGAAAAATTTGAAAAACTAGAAAGCCAACATGAAGCATTACGACAACTCGTTAATGACACGGACACTAAAACAATAATAACGACAACACGGCAAAGTAAAGATATTCATACAAATCAGATGAATATAACAACTCTACAAATGAACGTGACAACACTCCAAAATACAAAAAATAACGACAACATTGTAAACACCATCACCAGACCAGCAGTTGATATCACAGCTCCCACATTTAGCGGGGAAAACAAAGAAGAACACCCGAAACAATTTCTTAAAGAAATAAAAAACTACTTAGAACATAAACAAATAACCACCAGAAAAGAGATAATGTTAGTTATAGAAAACAATCTTCGCGGAAAAGCAGCGAAATGGTATACAATGATTAAAGATGCGGCACTAGACGAAGCCACATTTAATGAATTATTCCTAAAACATTTTTTTTCCGAAAGTCATCAATGGGATATATTTATTAAATGTACTGAAGCAGGAAAGAAGCCGATTAAAAAGAATTTTCAAGAGCATTTCCATCATTGGATGGCGGAATTAAAACACCTTGATTCGCCAAAAATGAATGAGGAACAAGCAATTAACTTAATTACAAAACATTTTCCTATATCCATTCAGGCATATATACAAACAACAAACGAAAGAAAATTTCTACCGATATGGGAAAAATTGGGGGAATTAGAAAACAACATGAAGCAAGAAGAAGAACCAATAAAATATAATGAAAACACTCCAAAACAAATAAATACCAGGCAAAACAATACCTACAATAGAACGCCATACCATACAAATAATCAAAATTATAAAAATAACACGGATACACACAGGTCTTACACACAAAAACCATTACAACACTATGGAGGTAATCATAAGCCCAATATTAGACAACTAACTACGGATCAACCAGATTTTGACGATGACAACGCAACAAGCAACGAAGAGGGGATAAACGAAGATGTCGACAGGACAAAAAACTGGGAGCAGGGGACTGTGGGAACAGATCAACCCCAGTCATAAACACCCTTGGTCTAAAGCACATAACAAAATTAACAGAACAGAAAAAATGTCCACCAGACAAGTTAAATATATTAAATCTATTAAAAGCAGAAGATTTAATAAAAGATGAAGATTTCGATACCGCAATAAACAAAACGCAACAAATAGGATGCCCATATACTACCATATCGATAAACAACAAAGGGTATGAAATGTTATTAGACTCTGGAGCAGAGATATGTGCAATATCCGAAGAATATCACGATAAGATAATAAAAGACAACCCAAAAATACCAGTAATACCACTAACTGGACTTAGCATACATAACGCGATGGGCAACAAACCTACAAAAGTAACAAAGCAAATTTTGTTACCAATAGATATAGGAGAAGAGCAAATACAGACACCATTCATTGTAATAAACAATTTAAATGAAAAAGGTATAATAGGCAATGATTTTTTGGAAACAAATAAATCAACAATTAATTATGAAAAAAGACAATTGACAATAAAAATAAGGAACAAAATATATGAGATACCATTTTCTGAAAAGGAGGCAAAGCAACCAATGCACCTGCGAGCAATATGCACAAAACCAATCACGGAACCATTAGACCACATACAGTTCAATACATTACCTGACCACATTCAAAAGAAATTAGATAAATTAATACATCAATATCATCGTGTATTTCGGAATATACCTGGTGAGATAAAAGGTTATGAGTGCGTAATAAGATTGAAAAATGACAAGCCAATTAATCAAAGGCCATACCCTATTCCGATCACGAAACGTGAAGCAGTCGAAAAAGAAGTTAAACGTATGTTGGATATGGACATCATTAAGCAATCAAGATCACCATACTCGATACCAATCGTGCCAGTTTTCAAAAAAAATGGTGACGTACGATTATGCTTAGACGCCCGAAAAATTAATGAACAGATTACTCCAGACCGCGAATGTCCTATGACAATAGAAACAATTTTCTCGAAATTTGAAAAAATTAAATGCATTAGTACGTTGGACCTTCGAAGCGGATATTGGCAAGTAAAGCTTGCAGAAAAAAGCATGGACCTATGTTCATTCCTCATAAATGGCAGAAACTATTCATTCAAACGGTTGCCATTTGGACTTAATATAAGTGGATCGGAGTTTCAAAAAAGCATGGACATTGTATTAGGCCCGCTATTACAATCCTTTGTAACAATATATGTAGACGACATATTAATTACATCAGAAAACGAGAATAGTCATTACGAACACATAAAAATGGTCTTGGAAAGATTTGAAAAATACAATGTTACCGTCAACATTGACAAATGTCAATTTTTCAGAAAACAAGT